ACAGTGCCTAAACTGTCTGTTAAGCACACTGTGAGAAATTGTTTCTCTCTCTTTCTCTTTCAAGTTGGGCTTTTTGAGGATGGAGACTTAAAAATGATGTCTTTATCTCAGCCTTTACTATGCTTAGAATTGTCAAATGAGGCCCAGAAGCTATAACGAAACAATCTCCAAATCTTTCATTGAGCCCATACCTAGTTCTTGATTCTCTTTTCCACCTTAATTGGGGTTATCTCAGTACAGCTAAAAGCTGTACAGATAAATACCTAGATAGGAAAGATTATTTATCACCATTAGTATCTCCAAGAAAGTTCAGGAAGAGTTCAATTATGGAGATAATAGGGTAGATTTCCTCAGGAAATTTATTAAGATGCTGAATTAATTCTTCATGGATGATAGGATCCATCTCCAGAAATAAACTCTTCATTAAGAGCCAGATGTCTTGTTGAACCAAATAGCAAAATACTGTTTTTAATCAACACTCCTCCCCACACTTAAATTCTAATTCTTCATTAGAAGTAAATCATTACCTAAAATCTCTAACAAATCAACAAAGGCAAGACACTGGATCTAAGAGCATGACCATCAAATTTTATCAAGTTCTCCAGAAACTGCTCAACATCAAACACAAAAGATCACTGTTACATTTGAAGGATGGTGAAGGAGAGAACATCTCATGCCATATTACACATCTGTGAAGACCATCATCTCTGCGTATGTGGGTGGGTGAATAAGGAGGGGAGTAGGGTCTCCGAGTGCTTTTCCAGTTCTCCCTCTATCCCCATGTTTCAGGCATACCTCCTTACATCACTGCTGTTTATGCAAGATAGCAAGCTCAGCCCTTTAAAGCTGGGGAACTTTATCAGTCCATTTTAAAACTCCTTATATAGCACAAAATTGATACTCAAATACCGATTAAATTGTTCTATTATCTGCCTACAGGTATTAACTTAGTTTTTTTTTCAAAAAACATTTTCCAGCAAATCTGTGCCTTCTTCAGTCACTCAATTGACTACTATGACTACTATGTATTTCCATATTACTTAAGTAAGTATACTATGTATTTCCATATTATTAAGTAAGTATATCTTACTTACTTAAAAAAAAGAGAGAGAAGTGTATGCTTATATTTAGTTATTAATTAGTACTCACTGTACCGTTTCCCCATGCATTTTGTGGTCCTTAAGATTAGAGCCTGGTTTCCCATAAAAACTGACAGAATAATTTATATAACAAACATTTAATGAAAAAGTCCCCAGCTGTTCAACATTAAAGAATGCTATTCCTTCCTTAAAATTATGGGCAAGGGCTGGACATGGTGGCTCACGCCTGTAATCACAGTGGCTCTGGAGGCTGAGGCAGGAGGTTTAAAAGTTCAAAGCCAACCTCAGCAACTTAGCGAGACCCTAAACAACTTAGTGAGACCCTAAACAACTTAGTATGACCCTGTCTCAAAATAAAAAATAAAAACAGAATAGGGATGCGTGGCTCAGTTGGTTAAATGTCTCTGAGTTCAATCCTTGGTATCCCCCAACCCCCTAAAAAAAATTATGGGAAAGATAACAGTGATGAATAAATAGATTATGCACAGGGCATACTTAGCTACCTTTCTATATTTTTAAGTAAAGAACACTGAGGTTGAATTAACTTAGACTGATAATCTATATAATATTAAGCTTTAACATTACACATATTCAAGAATATTCAGGAACTGTTTTTGGTTTTTTGTTTGTTTGTTTGTTTGTTTGTTTTGGTTTTTCTCCTCTTCACTGGTAATGAGGCAACAGACACTCTGCACTCTTGTTGTGTTTATTTCAGGTTGTTAGGATAATACTGGGGAAGTGGTACATGGAGTTCTGCACATGTGATTAAACATATTTAAAAATAAATAATGAAGAACAAAAGAACTCAGGTTCTTTCTCATTTCATCTGTCCTAATTACTGTTGGTAAAATTATTTAACCTCCAAGGAGGTTCCAATTCAGACTTTAAAAGTTGAATTCCAAAAAGGTAGGAGAATCATGAGTTCAAGCCCAGCATGACAACTTAGTGAGACCATGTCTCAAAAAAAAAAATAAATAAATAAATAAATAAAAAGGGCTGGGGATATAGCTCAGAGGTAGAGTGCTATTGAATTTCATCCGAGAGAGAGAGAGAGAGAGAGAGAGAGAGAGAGAGAGAGAGAGAGAGAGAGAAATTGAGCTCCAAGAATTTTCTAAAATTATTTAATTAATAGAATATCTCTTTGATGAACACTTTTCGGGCAATAAAACAATTACATAAGCATTTATCTTTTCAAAAGAAAATTCAAGGGTTGGGGTTTTGACTCAGTGGTAGAGGGTTTGTCTCTCATGTGTGAGGGAGGCCCTGGTTTCTATTCTCAGCAATACAAAAAATAAAATAAAATAAAATAAAATAAAGGTATTGTGTCATCTACAACTAAAAAAATTTTTAAGTAAAATTCAAGTTTAGGTAAAACCAGTAGTGATATTTCACATGGAAACACACTTAAGAACACTAAAGCAGAAAAATTTCTGTATACAGATGTTTAATCTTCTAAGGGGGGAAAAAAAAAGAATCCTGATCTGGAAATTGAAAATGCATGAACCAAGCAGTGAAGCACAATTTCCTGGAGAGTGATCAAAAAGCAGTTGAGTCTGAATATTCAAACTCTCACATACCTTCACGCATGCGTTTTCTACAAACCAGTCCATGCAGTGCTCTGCCGCTCAGGATCTGGGCAGAGAATTATGAACAAGGCATTGCCTCGGGGGTTTGTCCTGGGAACAGTGCCATTTAACATTCTTATTAATTATTTGGTGGGGGAAGGTGAGCTATAAATAGAGAAGTTTCTTGCTGATATTTATAAAGGATAAATAGTTGGGAACTGAAGGGATCTTGAACAAATTTTGGTTAGATTTAGGTACATAAGGCAATTGATACCATGAAGGCAAAGAAGTTCTATGTACCACCCCAAGGTCATACAAGTGGGCTAAACTGATGCCATTGTTTTCTTGTAAGCTCAACACACAGATTACTCGGCTTAAATGAAAAGGAGATGCCAATAATGCCTTCACTTCACTTCTGCATCGACCAATGCTAAAACTGTAGGCTGCAAGCTACTATTGGAAGATACCTGAGACAAGCTGTCATAAAATACTAATGGAAGAAAAACAGGTGTGGTCCAAAATGTTGTTTAGTTCTGCTCAGAATACCAAATCCATGGTGACTCTTGATAACCGTTTCACCTTTATCCAAGCAGATATTATCTGTTTTCTTCAATTTCCATTTAGCAAAATTTGGCACATATCCTGTATTTTTCATATCATGATTTGCACTGTAGATACAAATATACAGTCCTTGAGGGCTGGAATTGCAACTTTGCATTCTGCATTTCTACCAGAAAAACAGATTTCCAACCCAGAGTTGTTAAAGATGGTTTAGTGTATCAGCAATAAATATGAATGACTTCTATAGCCTCAGACTGTCCTAAATTTAAATCCTGGTTCTACAGCTAACTTCAAGGACTTGGGGAAGTTTCTAATCTTTGTGTCTCTGTTTCATCTGGGTGTAGTAAAAAAAAGTAGTAGAATTAATGAGAGGAGTAAGTGGGATAATACATGCAATGAGCATAGAACAATACCTGGCATTATAATTGTTTAATAAATATTAGCTAGTAATTATAGTGGTAGTTATTAAAGAATGAATAATTTGCTGGGTGCAGTGGTACATGCCTGTAATCCCAGCAACTTAGAGGCGGAGGCAAGAGGATCAGGATCACAAATTCAAGGCCAGTCTGAGCAATTCAAATAGAAAATAAAAAGGCTACATATGTAGCTTGGTATTAAAGCCTCCCAGTACTACATTCAATCCCTAGTATCACAAAAAGAAAAAAAAATATATCATTTAGTAAATGACTGATATACCAAACTGATAACCTTTGCACTTCATTTTTGTTCAAATTTTCTTTCTTTTAAATTGATAAATAAAATGGTGTGCATGCTAAAATAAAATAAATGACTGATATGTAAGTAAATATTCTAGAGTAGTCCTTGTGCTACATTTTCCCTGAATAAATAACAAAGTTTTCCCCAGATTTAAGTCTTTCACCTTGGATAGAATTCAAGATGCCTTGTTTAATTAAATTTTAATTAAATTTCAGACAAATGAATACTTCTTTTTTATACTTATGTCCCAAATATTGCATGGTAGAACAAATCTGTAGGAGAACCCGGTAGGATAAGAACTTTGGCCTGTTATTTTATAGAGTCTCTCAAGTTTATAAGAAGTTCCTTTCTTCTTTGAAGAACTACCTCCCTTCCTCATTTCTGGAATTCCCTCCTGACCACATAGCAACACTTTTCAACATCAACAATAAGTTAAAGTAAAAGTGAGTTTTATACTAGCAATAAGTATGCACTTTCCTCATCTCCAGACCACAGTGTATCCTGCCCATCTGCTTTTGCTCTAAGGCCTAGAATCAGAGACTGAGCTTAGTTAGAGAAGCCCAGTTGGTATCACCCAAGTTCTAATAAATCAAACGATTAGGCTGCTTAGTCTATGGAAAGAACTCCTTTCTAACTAACTTGAACTAAACAAAACAAACCATTAAAATGTACCACTCAAACACATATTCGCTAAAATTTGTTAATGGTTTTTTAAAGGCAATGGCAAAATTTCCCAAGTCAGTAGGGGTTTATTTGGATTAGATTAGTGCTGGTAGTTTAAACATGATAAACAGGTTTTTTTTTTTTTTTTTTTAGCAGGAGTGGGTTCTTTGAACATAGATTTGCATATCTATAAAGAGGCAAGTTTCTCCAGGTACCAGAACATTTTTCTGGCATGTATTGGATTGTATTCATGAAGATAAGGCATATTATTACACATTCGGTGTAAACAGATCTTCTTTTACAGATAAATAGCAATTAAATTTATATTAAATTTATATTCTCAATTCTAACAGTAATTCATGAATAACAAGCTTACAGAAAGATGCCATCTTACCCCTCAATACTGATTTGAGGTTGAGCTTGGCTTGGCGGTGTAGGTCCTCAACACAAGGGGGTCTTGTGGTGGGAAGGAACACATTCTCCTGCTGGTGCCATGGAGCAGTGTAGTGGACTGTCCATCGACTCTCCTCATCTAGGTTGGAAACCGCTACAGAAAGAAAGACAGAAAAAGTCAGGTGTTAAGTTAAGCTTCATTGGTCCCAAATTTGTTACACTAAGATAAGCTTTTGCCAGGCATGGTGGCACATGCCTGTAATCCCAGTAGCTTGGGAGGCTGAAGCAAGAGGATTTCAAGTTCAAGGCCAGCCTCAGCAACTTAGTGAGGCCCTAAGCAACTTAGTGACCCCATCTCTACAGGGCTGGAGTGTGACTCAGTGGTTAAGCACCCCTAGGTTCAATCCCTGGAACCAGAAAAAGAGAGGAGGAAGGGAGAGCAGGTGGTTTTGGTTTCTACTACATAGCTAAGGAACAGCAAGGAGAAACAGAGCAAAATGTGACTGAGATGGAGACTGCAGAAGTCTTGCCCCTGTGCTCTGCTGGTAGAGAAAAGACTGACAGCACCCATCCTGCACACAATGCTTTCCTAGAATAATTGTGTGCACAGTTGACTGCTCCCCAGCAATTCAGGTCCTCCTTTTACTCCATGTTAGACCAAAATGAATGACAACATTGTCCGAGATCTCAATTTCCTCCTTAACTCCACCACAACAAACATGAGTTATTCAATTGTATAATGTTACTGCGTCATTAAATTAGATTGTCCTGACAGAAACAAATTTCATACCAGGAGGTTAGGACCAAATCTTTCCCATCCATAGCATTATTTTAAAATATCACTGTTATAAACTCAATTCTCTTAAAGATTTGCATAAACATTCAATTTAGTACATTTAAGTGGCATATCTAATAGACATGGGAATCCATTTGTGCTTTAAAATTTTCCTCTTATTTCTTGCTTTCATGGAATGCTTTCATATTAAAAATTTAAAAAAAAATAGTGCAGTTGATTTTTTCCAACACAATTCAATTTAATATTCCCAACACACACAAAAAAAAGTCCAAATCACTAGAGGAGAAAATAACAGGTTTCCAGAGACCAGGATAAATCTCTAAAATAATTTTCCTTGAATTCCCCTAGGGCTTGGGACTTCCTTGTTTCAAAATAACCTAAGCTGGTGTATAAGTAAAGCCCCAAATGAAGCTAACAGCACACAAACAAATTTATTAGCAGACAGGCATACTGTTTTAACTTGATGTTAAATACTTTCTGTATATCCGCCACATGACTCAGGCACAGGAGAAAATAGAGGAAAAAAAAATAGAGAAAGCCCCTGTACTGCAGCATTTGCTGGTGGCGGTAGGTCAAACTCCTGTAAATCCAGCAGACACTGAACTTATGAATCAGAGACAAGTCTTCCCTGACTCTGAGACTCTCGCCTGCGGTTCTCACTGCAAATACGCTTTTCTACTACATAACATGTACCAGAAACTAGATCAAGAAACAGATTCTCACGGTAAAGTGAAAAGGCATGTATGGACTATTACATCTATTTGAACATATAAAATTTTCCCCTAACCATATTATATAAACTTTAAACATATAAAATTAATTAAACATACCTCACAGCACAATTATTATGGACTATAATAAAGCTCAAATGAACTAATTATGTAAAGCTCTTACTTCACAAAACAACTCATGTAAAGAGTGGTTGCGATCGGAACAATGAATGTCATTCTGAAGGAGCCCTAACTTCAGTGTCACCACCAAGAAGGAATTGTGCCTTCCTCAGACCCAGGAAACTTCAGCCACACTTCAGGTGGGACCCCATACACCATCTTTCCTATAGCTACTAAATAATAAAATCAGGTGAGTCTGAAAAGAATGATTCATTCTTTCTTTCTTTCGGGGAAGTACCGGGGAATGAACTCAGAGGCACTCGACCACTGAGCCACATCTTCAGTTCTATTTTGTATTTTATTAGAGACAGGGTACTCACTGAATTGCTTAGAGCCTTGCTAAATTGCTGAGGCTAGCTTTGAACTCGAGATCCTCCTGCCTCTGCCACCTGAGCTGCTGGGATTACTGGTGTGCGTCACCACGCCCAGCCATGATTCTTCTTTTATAGGACTCTACTTTCTTCATAAATTGCAAAGTAGGCGATTAACATTGAGAACTAGACATCAAGTTAAAACAATATTCCTGTCTGCTGTTTGCTTATACAGTTTGATAAAAATGGTATATAAATTAGTAAATATTTCATGAAATCTGATCGAACAATGTTTTGCATGGTCCATATAACCATCAGTCTTAATACCCAAAACCCACAAAGACATGACTTCATTCTCAGGTACATTACAGAAAGTCTAGTACAATGCCAAACTGGTTGTAGGTCCCCCAAATTATATCCAGAGTCCATTACAATGTTTTGTGCTAATGTCCACTTATTTTTTTTAAAGGTTTAACTGCAATACTTCATAGCTGGAAGACATGGAAATTTTGCCAATTATAAATCAAATCCAAATAATGGCATCTGAGTCCGTGTAATCGCACCATCAGCCCTAATGCACAGTTACCAACTGGCTCCTCTGAAAGAGCAGTTGTCTCTTGGCTGGTGCACCTCCCTCTTGCCAGAGCAGATTGTTATCAGTCCTTCCAAAAACAGCCTTGGGGCAAGACACACAGAAAATGAGCCCAGTGTGCTATTCTTTGTTGCTTTCTCCAGAGCTTCTCTTACCAGTTCCCCGACCCATGCACATTTATCTAGTTTCCAAAAACTATACTAAATTGAAATAAACCCATAACCAGGTAAAAACAAGACTGTGTGGTTGTAAAATTTACATTTTCAAAAGGTACCCAGCTTAACGAAATTTAAACAAAAAGCAAGGACAAAAGCTCTGTACTTTACACAATCACTCATCAGTCTAGACAGTTTGTTCTTGAGCTTGTAAATACCTAACAGAGAGTGACAGGGAGCTTTAGAGGATCATTCCCACCAAAAGTATGTGACACATTACACAGAGGATCCCTTATGTCAGCTGCTCATCCAGCCACAGAATCAAAAATCAGACACCGAATACCAAAGAAAACAAAGTAAATACAAAGATTTTTCCCTTTTTTAAAGGAATGCTTTTGAGAAGTACAAAAGAAATGGAGTCACTTAAAATTCCAATCATAAATGCAATCCTAGAGTTACAACAGTCTGAGCTCTTTGAACAACTTGGTATGGAGTAACTTATACCAGTCACACCGTTTCCCATTCTGATTCCTGTCACTCAAAAGGATGAAGGAGCACACAAAACACAAAAGCACACACACCATAGATAGTGGCGAAAAGGAATTACTTACTTTTCTTCTTAAAAAGTTTAATGAAAGACTTAATCTTTGCATTAATGAACACCACCATTTCCAGGCGCCTACATGAGGTTTAGAAATTTAAGTCACATTAAAAGCTCAGTCCAGCAGGCAGGTGGCAAGCTGCACTCTTCTGCTCTAGATTCGAACTTTCTTCCTCCAAGGTCTCTCATCCAACTGCCCGGGGTGTTGTAACTCTGAGGTTGAGTTTATTGTTAAGCAGTTACAAACCATTAATAGTCCTTGAACCTGAAAAACTCCCAGTGAAACCTAATCTTTAAGGCTGGGAGCAGCCAGTGACAACAGGCTGGGAAAGAGAAAGCCAATCACGGATCTTATTTGCATGATAGCCACATCAGGCTTTCTGCCTCGGCGCTCATTCATTCCATTTCCTCTCCACACATCAGAAGTTTCTCCTCCCTGGAGTCCACAAAAACACTACAGATTTTCCTCTACGGAAGTCAAGATGAAACAAATCATGTCCCCAATTTTACTAGGCCACTACGAACAACCCAGATCTCTCTACAGGAGCAATTCCACGACAACGATTCCTTGACTCTCCAGTTAATTCTGGGTGTATAGGATTTAAACAGATACAGGGAAATAAAAGAACCAAACTATTGTTTCCTGACCACGCCCCTAGGCTCCGTCCCTCTAACCAAAGGAACATTCAGAAGCAGAAAAACTTTAGAATCACCAAGGAGCTACAAAAGACAGCTTGGTTGCATTTTTATGCAAATGAAGATGCCCCTTCTTCTCACCCTTCTTGGCCAGGGACTGAGAATCAGTATAGCCTTTCCAAAGTGCAAACTTATTTGCAGCTAGCTGAAACAACTCTAAGAGGGTAGAGGGTGGGGCTTATAACCTTCTAACTCCAATGGAGAAATTAGATGAAGTACCTTAAAAATTATAATTATCATCTAAGCACCTAGTTTTCACAGTTCTATAACCACTCTTCCTCTTGGTAGCAGTCGCAAACAAGCTTGGTGGTTTGGGTTACTCTTTAACCTGAATATACTGAATTCTGGTTCTTCTGCCCATTTGCTGTCAATCACAGAGGACTAGGGAAACAAACAGGGGGAGGAATCGGAATTGGGGGATAGGTACGCGTTTGAGAAATATTCCAAGAGGAAAGGGATAGCAACAAAAAGGATATTGATTATGAAATAAGAAACAATGGAAAAAATCCTCCTCACATACCCCAACAAAACAGTTTTGAAACAATTTAGCTCACTTATTTTATAGCTTTGGGCCAGACTTGTAACTGAATGGAAAAATGTAATAATCCACTAATTCAAAACATTTAGTTTATAACAAAGGCTCTTAGTCAAAGAATAAAATTTATATAAGGGGTTTCCTCTGGGGAAAGCTTTGGAATGATGCCACTTTGAATCTTTTTATGCCCTTAACCTTACTTTTTTAACAATAAAAGCAAACCAAACATAGGAAATACACTTATTATATTACCATACATAGTTATCATAGACTTCCAACTTTTGTTCTTTATCCTTTAGTAGCTTTAATTAAAGGTAATTAAATTGCCAGATGGCAATTGAGTAATAACTAAGATTGTAAATCAGATTATATAGTTCCTTAAATTAGTGAGCAAAGTTCCCCTTTAGAAAACAAATGTATCAGCAAGAGTGACCTCACTCTGCTCACCTGCATTAGAGACGGTAGAGTTCTGAGCAGAAATGCTTCTATTCACCATCTGCAAAGTTTTGAGGTTAAGTGTCACCATGCATTCTTCCAATTGAAAACAGAAACTGTTCCTATTAAAAACGAACCCTGAC